CCCGTCCGAAGCAAGAGACGTCCCGAGATAAGTTAATGATTGCTTGGCTGGGATGGGGACCTCGTTGCGTCCCAAAATATCAGCTTCGGTCCTTACTTTCATAAGTTCCAACTTGCCCCAATTGAACTGCAGCCCGCACTGGCCCCCGCACTCCTCAATGCAGCGCATCAGCTCTTGAACGAGGGCTGGGTCGGAGTCTATGAGCAACGTGTCGTCCGCGTACACGAGCTCCCTCGCAAACTGGTTTTCAGGTATCGGTCCGGCACGACTCTGAAGCAGCGCGTGCGCGTCCGTGAGAAGCGTCGTCATCACAATGGTGAACAGAAAAGGGGACAGCGGACAGCCTTGGCATATGCCGTACCTCTGCTGATGGATGCTGGACGTGGCCCCGAAGTCCCTCACGACGAAGTTGCGCTCGCTGTAAATCGACACGACGACGTCCACGAAAACTTCTGGGCAACCAAATCTCCGCAAAGACCCGGCGAGCGCGTCCGGCGAGACCGAGTCGAATGCCTTGGCCCAGTCGAGTGCCAGGAACAAGCGACTTGCATCTCGTGTTGACCATGTGTCGTCCAGCACCCGGCGGGCTAGGAACACTGCGTCTGCCGTGCCCCGCCCGGAGCGGAACCCGAATTGGGTTCGCCAGATGCGGTCTTCGGCCCCCGCCTGCTTCAGCCTCTGGAGCAGGATGGTTGCGAACAATTTGTAGCCGATGGGCGAGATACTGATGGGGCGGTAGTTCTCGCATTCTGCAGGGTCGCCCTTCTTGAACAGCATCGACACCCTCGCATGCCTCCAAGCTTCTGGGATCTTACCTTGTCTCCAAACGTCGGTGTAGAATTTTGCCAGATAGCTCGGGAGACCTCCCGCGTCGCTCGCCGCTGCTTTCCAGAATTCGGGTGGCACCCCGTCAAGGCCAGAAGCGCGTCCTCGCTTCAATTTCGCAGCTGCGGCCTTCACCTCCCCCACTGTGATATCACCCATGGAGATGGGCAGGTCGTTGTCGGCAATCCGTGCAGCAACTGGCGGTGCCACTGACGTGGGTCTGACTGCCCACTGCACCCTCTCGAGGTAGTCGGCCAGAGTCTCAGCACGCTGGTCCGTCTCCACAATGCCCTTGTTGACGTCACGAAGCCTGCCCTGTCTGCGGACAGGGCCTTTCCGGAGCCTCCTAATCTGATTCCAATCAGCGGATTCCGTGACCGATTCGATCCAAGCGGCCTTGTCCCTGGCAACCGAAGCGCGGATTTTCTTCGACAGGCGCTTCTCCTCGTCAGTGTCGCCCTGCCTTCTGGCGCTCCCGCGGCGCTCGATCAGCCCCAGCGTTCCGGCGCTCGTCCACGGCCTTGTGGTCCGCCTCGGAAGGAATGGCAACGTGCGTTCGGCAGCGTGATGAAAACCGTCCACGATACGACTCCAACCAAGATCGACATCCTCGCCTCCAGCTGCTGTGTCCTCGAAGCCCTCCAAAGCATTCAACATGTTCACGTTGAAAAAACAAGCGGCGAGTGGGTCGGAGAGGGCTGTGACATCAAGGCGTGGACTCTGACTCGCAGGCGCCGTCTTCTCAACTGACATACGGACACACGCAGTCAACAAGAAATGATGGGTCGACAACGGCACGTCGTGCCTAGCAGCCACGCCAGTGATGTCCCGGAGAAAAGTCCTCTCGCAGAGTACGAAATCGATCTGCGAGTGCGTCGAGGATCCAATTTGTAGCCCGGCAGGCGTACCCACGTTGTAGTTAGTGACAAGGTTGTGATCCGGCACGTCAAAAAATGTGTTTGCAACGCACATGTTCAGATTCTCGCACATCTCAACCATGAGGTGCCGGTTGGCGTCTTCCTTGCACGTCTGGTGGGGGTGTTTGAAAATATAGGGCCCCACCGCGTCACTCTCTCCATCGAGTTGGCCATACAACTTTGCATTCATGTCTCCTAACACAAGCTTGGGTCCATGAGCGGATCTTGTGGAAACGAATTCTGACAAACTCGTGAAGAAGTCAAACCGCCGCCGGAACTCGTAACCGCTGTGCGGCGCGTATGCAGAGAAAATAACAGCTTTACCTCCTGGGATCCGAAGCTTGAGCGATGCCATGCGGTCCGTCGCCTGGCAAAATCCAACCACAGAGTGCCTGAAACTTGGATGTACGATGAAGCCCACTCCAGCCCGCTCGTCCTCTGGGTCTCCCGCGCCGCCGGAAAGGACAACGAGGTAGCCGGAATCCGTGACGTACGTGGTAGACTTTGATGTCCATGTCTCTTGTAGGCACAAGATCTTGATATGTAATTTATCCATTATGGATTCTAGCTCAATTTGTTTCGAGTCTGTATGCCCTTCGATGTTCCAAGATGCAATGTTGAATTCGTCAGCCGTGGCAGGGCGTAAACGACCACCCCGAGCCGCAGAAAGTGACAACTTGGCTTGGCCAGCTGGATGTCCACATACTGCAGGTGAAACGTCATTGCTCACGCACAGTTGGCGCCCCTACTTGCTGCCCTTGGCGGCAGCCTTCCCTTTCCCCTTCCCTTTCCCGAGGCCTTTGGACGGGATCTTGCCGAGCTTGGCGTTGAGGTTCGCGACCAAGTCCTGGAAGTTGGTGTAGCCGTCCTGCTTGAACCATTCCTCCCAGCCCGTGCCAAAGTCGGTCTCAAACTTGTTGCCCACGATCCTCCCGCTCACCGCCACATCGGCACCAACCCACACCGTGCCCTCCGGGTCCGCCCAGACGCTCTCGGCCGTGAAGCCCCACTGCTTGAGAAGGTGTTTGACGCTAAACGCGAAAGACGTGAGGATACGCTTGGGGAGAACCATGTCCCTCTTTGCCCAAATATCGTTCCCGCCCTCCTTGAGAGAGGCCTGGCGGAGGAGTTTCACGGCAGTGTCCCTGTCAGCACGGCTCCTGAATCGAACGAAGATGAGACCGCGAAACTCCCCTTTAGAGTACACCTCTGCCGGCTGCGGCCCGTAGAGGTCCCACATGTTCGCCTCTATCCACTTCTTCGCGTTCTCCGTGCTGCCGATCGTCTGAAGGCCACCGACCACCGCAGTGTACTCCTCGTATTGGTTCCCATTGCTCTTCTGCGTGTTGTCCATCAGCTTGAGCTCCGAGATCTGGGCCTCCAGCATCTTCAACTGTTCTCGCACTTCTGCATCTGTCCGGGAACCCGCCGAACTGGTTTCCAAGTGCGTCAGGCGCGCGTCCATGTTCTCCATCTTGCTCTCTACCTCCGTCATCCTCTCCTCCATGGTCCCTCCGATCTCTGTCACTTTGCGCTCTAAGCCCTCCACCGCCTTCCGAAGTGGCTGCACCTCCTGCTTCAAAAGGTTCGCGATCTGCTGGAGCGTTGGCGGCTGCGCCGCTGCCTCCTCCGGAGTGCCCGGTGCCATTGGCGAAGATATCTGATGTACCTCCGGGCGCGGCGGGGACAAGTCGAGGTCGTCATCCATCTCGTGGAGGGGGCTAAACAAGCGGCGACGAACGTCTCGGGTGAGAGTTTCGGCAACTGGTGTTCCTGGCCCACGCGTCATCGGAAGGTACGGGTATGGGAATGGAAAATGGGAAATGTTGGAATAGGAAGAATTGGAGAGTAATTGGAATGGAAAATGGGAAATGTTGGACTTGCCCTTGAGCCCTTGGGGCGCCCCCAAAACCCCGCGTCCTCCTCTAGGGGCCGGCAGCGTCCAAGCGGCTCTGCGCACGCCGCCACCTGCCTGACGAGGCTTGCTCGGTGCTGTCAAGTTGGCGTTGCTGCGCTGCGGAGTGGAGGAAGGAACTAGTTTGTTTCGAGCGATCCCCACCCGAGAACGCGAGGCGGGATGTCCAGGGAGCACCTGCACACTTCGGGCATGGCGGCCACGGTATGTTGGGTGTGCGAGGCGCGTCTGGAGGTTCCTTCTCGGGCCGAACGGGGTGCGGACAGTGGTGGGGACGGTGGTGGTGGGGACAGTGGTGAGGGGACAGCGGGACAGTTGTGGGGACAGTGGGACAGTGGTGGGGACGGTAGTGGTGGGGACAATGGTGAGGACAATGGTGGGAACAGTGGGGACAGTGGGACAGTGGTGGGGACGGTGGTGGTGGGGACAGTGGTGCGGGGACAGTGGGAATGTGGTGGAAACAGTAGGACAGTGGAGGGTACAGTGGTGGTGGGGACAGTGGTGAAGGCGGTGGCGAGGACGGCGGTTGGACAATGGGACAGAGGTACAGTGGGGACAATGGTGGGGACAGTGGGGACAGTGGTGGGAACAGTGGGACAGCTCAGTGGGACAGCGGAGGAGTCAGTGGGACAGTGGGGACAGTGGGGATAGTCGGGCAGTGGTTGGGGCCGTGGAGAAAGTTGGGAGAGTGGAACCGTGGTGGGAACAGTGGTGGGGACAGTGGGGACAGTGCGACAGTGGTGGTGGCACTGGTGGGGACAGTAGGGGCGGTGGTGGAACCAGTGGGGACAGTGGTGGTGAGGACAGTGGTGCTGGGAACAACAGTGGGGGATGTGGTGAGGACGGTGGTAGGGACCGGGAGTCGTTTGCTGGCGGTGAGAGGGGGGGTGGGGAGGGGTTCGAACCGGTAGTGACCCCCCCTCGGTTTTCGAGGGGGGGGGGGTTCGAACCGGCAGTGACCCCCCCCGGTTTTCCGGAGAGGGGGGGGGAGGGGTTCGAACCGGTAGTGACCCCCCCCCCGGTTTTCCGCCAGCAGCGGTAGAACCTCCGGTTTTCGAGGGGCGGGGGGGGGTTCGAACCGGTAGTGACCCCCCCCGGTTTTCCAGGGGGGGGGGAGGGGTTAGGAGAGGGGGGGGGTCCAGCAGGGGGGAAGGGGGCGGGGGGGGGTCCAGCAGGGGGGGAGGGGATTTTCGGAGGGGGGGGGGGACCCCGGGCTCCGGAGGAAAAGGGCGGCAATTTTCCACAGTAAAGCGGCGGTGGATCACGCTCTCTCTTACATTTCATCAAAGCACCGACTTGTCGGGTGGCGAGAAAGATGAAACTTCCCTGACCCCCCCCCCAAGGGGCACGAGCAGTCCCACTGGCTGAGGGCGGCTCAGATGGCCCAGGGCGGAGCGGAGTACCTTGCAGCCGCCGCGCGCAGCGGCGAAGGACGCGGGGATACTGGCTGCCAGCGACCGCAGCCAGGGGTCGAATGTTGGAGAACAAGTTTTTTCAGGGGTGGACCCCGAACGGTGAGGTCTTGCGCGCTGGATGTGCAACCGACGAGGTGCAACCTGTGGTGCATCCCAGAAATCCGGGCGCTGCAACTTTTTCACACCAGGTGTTTTCGCCTAGTTTCGGGCCACCGGACCATCACGGGTCGATCCGACCAGAACATTGCCGCAGAAAGATAAGGTCCAGGGCGTTGGTCGTAATTTGTCGCGGTGTTCTCAACCCCAGATCTCAGGGATGGTACGTGGTACAATTAATTGTGAGCATCTGCGCGTGTTCGCCTCCTATTCGCAGGCAAACATCCCACCACCCGCTCGAAATAGTTAGCACAATTCGAGAGGGCGTGAGTGGGGTTGCTCATCGTACCGCGCTTGCAAATCTCAACACGCGCGCTGACGCGCGGATCCTGCTCATGCAGATCTATGGTTCGGGCGGGCCATCGATGATGAGGATGATGAGGATGATGGTGATGGTGGTGGAGATAATGACGAGGGCGACCAGAAACACGATCACGATGAGGGTGACGATGGTGGTGATGATGACGACAACACTTGCGACGATGATCAAGATGATAGTGATGAGAATGACGACTGCAACCATGACGCTGGCGATGATGATGACGATGGTGCTGATGAGTATGATGCGAATGTGTGCCCGAGCGGAAACCTATCATTGAAACGCTATTTGTGTTTATTGCGTCTTAATTGCAATGATATTTCGACATGCGCGCGCGCGGAGATGCGCGCGTGGTGCCTGCATCTTATTACAGGAGGCGGCGGCGGGCGTGAACCGTGCGGACACTCAGACGTCCTGGCCAGTTACCCAGGAAGACAGGCAAGAGCCCATCAGTGCAGGCACTGTCGGGGCACAACAGCACGGATAATCCAAACATCGAAGGCTCGCACGGGGTCCTGGGTCGGCGCGGGGCCCTTCCCCCCGCCACCCCTGTCAGCACGTATGACGCCGGTCCCCGGCGTTCTGCTTCTGGTCTTGATTTCTGCAGAACAGCTCGGGGGATGGGTGGTACGGGGGCGTCACGCGCATTCGTTTCTTCGCGTCCTCAAGTGGCGGAGCGGATGAGGCCACGAGCTGCATGTAGTGTTCCCCCCCTGGGTGATCCGCCAGTGTTTCAGCCGCCAGGGCTGGGAGGACGAGGAGGAGGAGGAGAAGGCTTGGATGAGAATGAGTATGATGAGGTGGAGGAGTTGGAGTGGGACGATGAAGGCTTTAGAGTTGAGGAGAAGGGTGCGTGACACGACGACCTTACGCTTTTTGGGTATGAGGGCCAACGTGCCCATCTGCGTAATGGTGAGGCCCTCGGTGGGCGAATACCGAAACCTTCCTCGGCCTCCAGGTCCACCGTGATCGCTGACAGGCACAGCAAGGAAGGAAGCAAGAGGCCCATCATTCTGACCAGGCCACCACGAAGTTTTCGACCGCTCCAGCGTTGACGCGCAGGGGCCACGAGAGGGGGGGGGGGTAGGCTCAGGGGGGAACCCATCGACGCCCAATCGCCCATTCATCTCCAATATGGGCCCGATAGCCCACCTCGCCCAGGAGCGCTGCTCAGATGCAGTGTCAGGGGTGCAGTTGCGGACGGTTTGATTTTGGAGGTGTGAAACCCCATATGTATTTCACCCTGAGCTCTCCACCCTAAGAAAAATGTTCAGATAATTATTGTTGATACCGCCTTACCTGGGAGTCATGCTATTCTTCTGCAATGGAAGTGCCCCCCCCCCCCGGGCTCGCACCCTGATTGTTTCGGAAGGGAAAGCGAGGTGTCATCACCAAACTGGGTTGCTGGGCCCTGGCTCACAGCAACAGCGGCTACCGCTTGTTACCTCCTCAGCATGTATTCCCAATTTGCGCGTTCGCGCTGGACGTCCTCGCAGTTTATACAGGAATCGCGCTTTCAGGTGGGACTTCCGCACAAATGATTCAGGCGCCGCGCCCTCGACACTCAGGAATCACGCTCTCGCTCTGGATTTCCCCACGATGTACTTGGGAATCGCGCTATCGCTCGAGACTTGCCCGCGATTCATGCAGTAATCACACTTCAGCAACCCGCTTGCTCGGCCTGGCCGCCTGGGCCCGTCTTCCCAACCCGCCTGTTAGGGTCTACCCGCCCGACCTGCCCGCCTGGTTCTGCTACGTGCGTTCTGGTCCTAGCCCCCGTCCTTGTACTCGCTCGTGCTCCACTGCCCCCCCACTTGTCCATTCCTTCCATCCGTCCTCACTTCCCCTGCCTTAGGGGCTGCACGAAACACATGAAGCAGGTAAGAAACATACATCCATATACCCCCAAGGGGGCACGATTGAAGACGAAGAGGGCGGACGGGCATCGAGGTTTTGGGATACACGTGCTGGATGCCCCGCGTGCAAATAAGAGCGATCAGTCTGGACATAATGTGTTGTTGCTGATGCTGCTGCTGCTATTGTTGTTGATGCTGATATTGTTGTTGATATCGGTGGTGGTGGCGGTGATGTTGTGATTGTGTTTGTGGTTGTGGTTGAGGTTCATACTAATGTTGTCGTTGGTGGTGTTGCTGATGGTTTTGTTGTTGTTGGTGTTGTTGATGTTGCTGCTGTCGTTGTTGCCGTGCTGTTGTTGTAGTCGTTATAGTCGTTGGTGTTGTTGTTGTTGTTGTTGCTGTTGTTGTTGAATTCTCATTTCCGAAGAATAATTCTTCACGCTTCGCGAATCCCCACCAGCCCATCTCAAAACAGCAACTCTAGCGAAGCATGCTGACAGTCGTGTTTTTTACCTAACAGCGAAGACTGATAGGTTTCTAGTGGGATCAAAAGAGAGCAGCAGATCACTCCACAGGGGGGTCCGGGCAGGTGTTGGGAGTTGCCGGGCGGCAGGTGCCGGGCTCGTTTTTCACCAACAGTCACACACTTCGTGCTCTTCGACTTCCCAGGCCAGGCAGGAATGTGCAACAGTCACACACCCGAGGCGCATTCTTTAGAATAACCGGATGCAACAGTCACACACTTCGTGCTCTCGACATCCCAGAACGCCATTCCCGGGCCACATTCCGGATGCAACAGTCACACACTTCGTGCTCTTCGAGTTCCCAGAACTCCATTCCCGGGCCACATTTTGGATGCCCGGAGCCAACTGTAGGCCACTTCGTGGTCTTCGAGTTCCCAGAACTCCATTCCCGGGCCACATTTTGAATGCCCGGAGCCAACTGTAGGCCACTTCGTGCTCTTCGAGTTCCCAGAACTCCATTCCCGGGCCACATTTTGAATGCCCGTAGCCAACTGTAGGCAACTTCGTGCTCTTCGACTTCCCAGAACTCCCATTCCTGGGCCACATTTTCAGCAGGGGCAAGAGCACGACGAGGAGGAGGACGAGCAAGACCAGGAGGACGAGGACGAGCAGGAGCAGGACGAGGAGCAGGAGGAGCAGGAGAAGAAGGACGAGCAGGAGGAGGAGGAGGACGAGCAGGAGGAGGAGGACGACCAGGAGGAGGAGGACGACCAGGAAGAGGAGGAGGAGGAGGAGGAGGGGAGGGGGAGGAGTACCAGGAGGAGGAGGAGGAGGAGGAGGAGGAGGAGGAAGAGGAGGAGGAGGAGGAGGAGGACGAGGACGAGGAGGAGGAGGAGGAGGGGGGGGGAGAGTACCAGGAGGAGGAGAACGAGGACCACCAGGAGGAGGAGGAGGAGGAGGAGGAGGAGGAGGAGGAGGAGAGAACACCAGGAGGAGGAGGACGAGCAAGACGAGGAGGACGAGAACGAGGACGACCAGGAAGAGGAGGAGGAGGAGGAGGAGGAGGAGGGGGAGGACTACCAGGAGGAGGAGGAGGAGGAGGAGGAGGAGGAGGAGGAGGAGAGGAGGAGGAGGACGAGGAGGAGGAGGAGGAGGAGGAGGAGGACGAGGAGGAGGAGGGGGGGGAGAGCACCAGGAGGAGGAGAACGAGGACCACCAGGAGGAGGAGGAGGAGGAGGAGGAGAGAGCACCAGGAGGAGGAGGACGAGCAAGACGAGGAGGACGAGAACGAGGACGAGCAGGAGGAAGAGGAGGAGGAGGAGGAGGAGGAGGAGGAGGAGGAGGAGCAGGAGAAAGAGGAGGAGGAAGAGGAGGAGGCAGGCTGAGGCTGAGGCTGTGACTGCGACTGCCGTTGCCGCTGCGACTGTCATCGCGAATGCGACTACGACTGCGAGAACAGCAGAATTCGACAATTGGATTTTCATCTGAATCTTAAGGGGAATGCTTTCAGATATGCTTCTACACATCGCTGTTAGGTTGCTTTGCCGGGATAATCATGCGTGTTTCCGCCTGCCCCCGCATATCTCTCCTGTTCCTCCTTCCTCCCGCCTCCTTGTACATCCTCCTTGTGGCGGGAGCGGGAGAAGGACGAGGCGGAGGAGGAGGGAGAGAAAGCGCTCCTCGTGGTTTGAGTCGTTCGGACTTCTCGTCCTGGTGTGAGTCGTTCGGGCCCTTCTTCCTGGTGTGAGTCGTTCGGGCTCTTCGTGGTGTGAGTCGTTCGGGCTCCTCCTAGTAGCAATCGTAGGAGAAGAAGTAGTAGTAGATGTCTTTTGGAAGCCGCTCGGAGGCCTCTTGGGGCGTCTTCGGCGCCTCTTGGGGCCTCTTGGGGACCTCTTGGGGGTATCTTGGGGGCCTCTTGGAGGCCTCGTGGTGCCTCCTGGGGACCTCTTGTGGGCCATCTGGGGACCTCTTGGGGCCATGTGGTGGACCTCTGGGGGCCATCGTGGGGGGCTTGTATGAGCGCTGCGCCTCCTCCTGGTGTGACTCGTTCGGGCTCCTCGTGGTGTGAGTCGTTCGAGGCCCGCGTCGTGGTGTGAGTCGTTCGGGCTCCTCGTGGTGTGAGTCGTTCGGGCGCCTCGTCCTGGTGTGAGTCGTTCGGGCCCCTCCTTGTGGTGTGAGTCGTTCGGGCTCTTCGTGGTGCGAGTCGTTCGGGCCCCTCGTCCTGGTGTGAGTCGTT